CACAGCCCCACCATTAGTTTCTTGACTCAGCCAGTGCTTGTCTGTGCTTTAAGCCCTCTGGAGAGTTCTTTCATCACAGAGGGGTCTGTATCAGATGTCCCATGGGCTGGCTCACAGGACAGCACCCCTTTTCAGACTCAGCCCTGGAAATGGGGTGCAGAGCTACACTAGCTCTCCTGCTCTATGAGGGTTCCCACCATGGGCAGGAGTGAAATGCTTCTCCCCTCCTTGGATGGCGAGTCTGGGCTTTGGGTAGAAAGAGGGATCTGCTCCCTCTGTCTAGGGCCTCTCCAACTTGGCCCCTGGTCAAAGCCTGGGGAAGGGCGTGTGCAGCCAGGGGTTAGATGTTCTATGGAAGTGACATGTCGTGACCCTGAGCCTGGAAAGGAACATGTGGACCCAGGGCTCGATGTTCTAGTGACACAGGTGACGTGTCATGACCCCAAACTACTTAGTTCCTCTCAAGCGCCTCCAGCTTGACCAAGACGTGCCAGGCTCTTGGAGGATCTGTCAACCTGTCCTCATGCACCCCAGGGACCCCTGACAGAGCAGGTGAGGAGCAGCTGAGTCAGCTTGTGCGTTTCTTTGACATTTTAGACGCCATGGCCCCGGGACCCTGCAGACCACACCTGTCAACACCACAGCTGCGACATCTCCAGCTCGAGTTTAGGAAGGTCTGTGAGCCCCACTTGGCTCCTCCTCTCCTTACCCTCCTCCTGTGGTGACTGTCCCATTACCCTTCGCCTGTCAAGGACAGAACCTGGGCCAGCGTGTGAGGAGGGAAACATGGCAGAGGAAGCTGCTTTTCAAAACGTCCTCCCAACACCAGTCTTCAAAAGCCTCTGGGTGAAGCTTCTGGCTTTAGTGGTTTGCTGCCTCCCACCTCCACGTGCCCTCTTGGGACTCATGACAGTTGGGAGCCAAAGGCCAGGGGCGGATGACCCTGATGGCCTCCTGCCCTCCATCCACACCTGGCTATTTGTCACCCCCATTAAATCTTCCGCCACTCCAGTAACTCGCCTCTTGCAGAGGACAGAAGAGTGGCCTCAGGTAAGACCATGTGGCCGTCATGATAGTGAAACCCAGGCCACCAACACCAACCACGGCCAGCTTCTCATGAATGGCCACAATGTTATTTCCCCAAGTGGTACGTCCTTCCAGAAACTTGCCACACCTCCATTCAGAGGTGGCGTCTGTGTCCCTCCCAGGGACCTGCAGGGGCCTCAGTGACTGCCCAGCAGGGTGAGGCTCTGACATGAGGCTTAGGTAGAGCCCCACCTGCCTTAGGAAGGCCACAGCTACCCAAGGCTTGGGCGTCGAGGCCCAGCTGTGCTCCCTGCTGGCAGACACGGGCAGCTGCATGAGCCGTAGCGTGAGTCCCTTCATCTCATTGCAAGGACAACCTGGACCATGGGACACCTGTATGAGATGGCAAGAATGGCCTGGGGGCCTGGGGAGGGTGCCGATACTGTGTCAGAGCTTTTTGCTTCCAAGCTCAGATGACCTTAACCCTTTGCATTTTTCTGGGCCTGGGACCTGCCCTTTGCCCCGCAGTAGTGTCACAGTCACAAGGCAGCTTCAGACTCCCTCTAGGTCTATATTTGTAGTTTTTTCTCAGAAACAATTCGAAACTGTCTAAGCTTCCTGTTCTTGCCTCTTTCCAGTGAGGAAAAGCCAGGACCCCACCTGCTTCACTCTGCAGGATCCTACTATCTCAGGCTGGGACATTTGATAGTGATAAAAAGGTCACTTTGAGGGGGTGGGAATCAAATGAGGCAGGAGGACAGATTCAAGGCAAGGCCAGCCTTAGCAACTTAAAAAGACCTTAAGCAATTTAGTGAGGCCCCATCTCAAATAAAATAGGGCTTGGGATGTGGCTCAGTGGTTAAGCACCCTTGGGTTCAATCCCTGGAACCAAAAAATGAAAGGGTCACAGACAATGCCACGTGTGGACGGTGTCCTAACCGCTCTCAGGAATGGGATAGAACTCAGCCAAAAAGACATCACTGAAGACATGAGCTGCACCCTGCTGGCACCAGCACAGGCACCTGCTGGCCTAGTACAAACTGACCCCACATGGCACCACCGCGGCCTAGTGCCCACTGACAGCACAGCCACCTTGGTCAGAAAACAGTCCCGAGAATGGGGCTGCAGTGTGTTTTCACCACTGAGTGACAGCAGGCGACCTCAGGGGATAAGGAGGCTCCACCCTCCTGCCCCTTAAACTTGCAGGTTAGACACCTGCCTTCCCGCAGTGTGGGTCCAAAAGGACAGACCCCCGTGAGTCTCAAGCTCAGAGACAAAACAAAACCCCACGGCTTCCACTTTGAGGGGACCCTGGAGCCCAGTTAGTTAGCAGCAGCACAGCCCATGTCCCAGGGTCACCACTGGCCTGGATAACTATTTGAGCTCCAACCGGAAGTAACCAGAGGGAGCAGCAGGCCCAAAGCCCAGCCTGCAGGGAGAAGGCAAGCGCACAGCTCCCCCCTGGCCCTCAGACCACGGTGGCGCCCAGGAGAGGGGCGGGGTGCTCCCCAGGCTGCAGGCTACTCTGCCATGGGGGCCCTGGGACCAGGCTGTGCTTTGGGGTAAGCAGTGGGCACAGGGACCCAAGGAGCCAGCTAGAAGCAGCCTCCTCATTCTGAGGGCTTCTGTTAGCGCTGCTGGGCTCACCATGCCCTTGGTGGCTGGACAGCAGTGGTCAGTTGGTGTCCTGGGGAGAGACGCCAGGCGCTGACTTTTCTGCAGGGGACAGGCCATCTTGCTGCACTAACTACCCCCCTCCCAGCGGCAGGGGGAGGACTCGGCCTTGGGGAGTCTGCGTGTGCTCAGCCGCCGCCTCAGGGAGGAGAGCTTGTCCCCCAGGGCCTTGCGCAGCCCTGCACTGTCCCTGACACAGGGCAGGTCTTGCCTGGTAGCCGGGAGTTGCCCTGTGAACATCTCCCACCGGTCCAGGGCATCCACGGCCCTGTCCACCTGTGCGAGCTCCTCCTCGGCCACTTCCCGTTCCAGGGCCTGGATACATGTGGCCAGCCACCGTCCGTGCTCCTCGATGGCCTCCACAGGGCCCTCAAGCTTCGGCAGAGCCTCTGAGGCCACCAGGGAGCTCTGCCCATCCTCGGGTCCCTCAGGGAAGGCATGACTCCATGTGTCAGGGGTGAGGGGCTCTGATAGGCTGGTGACAGGCTCTGAGTTGCTCTCACAGCACATGCCAGAGTCTGCGCTGAAGGGTGGGGTGTCCTCCGACATAGATGGCTCTCCTGCCTCCTGGCAGGGCCACGAACCTGCTGCTGCCTGGGTCCAGGTGTGGAGTCTCTGCGAGGGAGAAACAGGCTGAGTTCTCTCTGGTGGGCACTTGTCTGGCCAGCGAGCAGCCCGAGGACCCAGCTGCATTCAGTCACCTTGAGGCCCGTGGCAAGCTGATGCCACCTGGGCCCTGCTGCCCAGCACTGCTGGGGACTGGAGTCCAGGCTGTGCCACAGCCAGACGTTCCAGGTCCCAGGAGCCTGCTGTTCACGTTTCAGGAACTGGGCACCTCTTGCTAACCCAGCCCTTCCTCAAAGCTGATGATTAAAGTCAGAAAATGTTAAGGCAAAAGAAACACTCAAAACACATCACCCCTAAATGTTTCACCATGGCCTCCCATTACCTGTGCTCCTGAGGTCCCCTGTGTGTGCCATGTCTGCAGGATGGGCATCACAATGAGCAGCACTTTCCAGCTCTGCTCAGTCAATCAGTGGACACTGGCCGGCACCACAAAGCTGGGCTTTTTCTTTGAGCAGAGACACTGGCCCTGGGTGGCTCCATGGCTCTTAGAGTCCTTGGGCCATCCCAGGACATGTGGGAAATCTCCTGCATAGCTCCCCACTTACTACAGTCATTGGCCCACCAGGTCCCTGAGCCTTGTCCTAAGAGGGGACTGGCTGCTCCCAATGGCCCAGCCATTTCAGGGAGCACCATGGGAGGAGAGGCTGCACCCACCACCTCAGCCCTCAGAGCTCACCCAGGGTCTGTTGAACACCACACCCCCGCCCTCAACTGGGTAAAGTTCTAAAAGTTCCCATCAGATGGTTGAATGAGCCCCAGATGAAGGACACAAGTAAGAAATCAAACCCTTTCA